TTAACCACAACCTTAGGAATGCAATTATTGGACTGGGGGTCTCTCTAGACTCATCACATAAGTTATTAGAGGTGAATTAATACATAATTAACATCATTAGTATTGGTTGCTGAAAGATGCTGAAATTTGTATATCTGAAGATAGGAAGTTCTAGGAATAGCAGTTTGAATTTTGTAAAAACTACTCGTGCTGTCCAAGTTCATCTACTAAAGTAACCAAGCATCCCAGTTAGGCGGGGCTTGAGGGTTTCTCAGGAAGTGGGATTTTCAGTGCAAATATCAGAGGATACCTGGTTACTTGAGACTGTAGGAAAGGAGAGAAGGAAATTGCCAAATGTCACTGTAATGTACAAGTGTATTCACATCTTTCCCCTAAAAATTCAAGGTAAATGACCATCCAAATTGATAGCTTTGATTTACAACCCAGGAAGTGCATTATATTTGGGATATGTTTTGGCCATATTCCCCCACCCCTATTCTCTTGGTAAAGCACTCTGATTCTGTCACTGTTTTTTGTTTGTTGTCTACATGTCTAATAGCACTGAATTGTTTCTGTGAACGGACTTTGAAATAGGTTCCAATATATTTTATTCTCTACCCTCATTTGTCTTTGTCTACTTTTATTCAGATTGTTCTTCTTCCATTTCATACTGTGGCTATTTTTATGTGCTGATTCATTTCCCATTTAATTTATGTTTTCTGTTTAGTTTTTCAATATGGACGTCTTTAATATGAAATATTTCAGTCACATAAAAATATGTAAAATATAATGCTAAAAGCAACGGGGTATCCACTGCCAAGGATAAATAAAAAGGTTGAGATGAAGTCAAAGCCCCCACCTCAATTGACTATCTTTTCCACCCTCCAGAGCCAAAGACTAGCCTGCATTTGGTGTTTATCTTTACAAGAAATCTTTACGTTTTTACTACAGATGTATATATCTATCAAGAGTAGATTATATTATTGGGCATAATTTTAATATTTATATAAGTAAAGTCTTATGACATGTATTATTCTGTAATGTAAATTTACCAGTGTTGTGTGTGCAAGATGTAATTAGTATGTAATTATACTAAATACATGGAACTCTATTTCAGGGTCTAATAGTATCTAATTTCACAAGTAAACTGTAATGTATCCATTCTTCTACTGATTGAAATTGGTTTCCTTTTTTCACTATTTAAAATAACGTTCCTATGTTATATAGATATAAACATACACATATAAATACAAAATACATATACGCACATATATGTATTGTAGATATATATACACACACATATAGATACATATAGTATATATACACATACACTCACGTAACTACACACACATGTATGTATGATGTATGATACATATCTGCACACACATCCATATATGCACATATACACATATGCACACATCCTATATGTATTGTGTATAATACATATATACACATACACACATATATACATATATACACATGTAATACACACACATATGCACACACATTATAGGTATGATACCTGTATATATGTATATTTTTGTGGACACATGTGAGGATGTTACTAAAGAGCATACCTAGGAGGAGATGCTTGGTCATGAGGGATGTGCACCAAACTTTATGATATAATGTGAAGACTAGTGGGTACAAAAATTTATATAGCCACCAGCACAATATGAAAGTCCACATTGCCAATATATTTGCCAATACCTTACATTTCAAACTTTCCCACTTTTTTTTTCAATCTATGTGTGAGAACTCTTTTTTTTTTTTTTTTTTTTTTTTGAGACAGAGTCTTACTCTGTTGCCAAGGCTGGAGTGCAGTGGCACGATTTTGGCTTACTGAAACTTCCGCCTCCCAGATTCAAGCAATTCTCCTGCCTCAACCTCCTGAGAAGCTGAGATTACAGGCATATGCCACCACACCTGGCTTATTTTTGTATTTTAGTAGAGATGGGGTTTCACCATGTTGGCCAGGCTGGTCTCAAACTCCTGACCTCATGATCTGACCATCTCAGCCTCTCAAAGTGCTGAAATTACAAGAGTGAGCTACCGCACCCAGCTGAGAAGAACATATCTTGTTATGGTATTTATCTTTATTTCTCTTAGTATTAGTGTGGTTGAACAGCTTTTATTGCACTTTTGGCTATGTGGTTTTTCTCTTATGTGAATCATCTATAAAGATACTGTGTCTATTTATTTGAGGACTATTTATCTTTTACTTATTGATTTATAAGTGATTTTATATGATATAGATACTAAATTTTTGTCAGTTCTATGGTTTGCTAATATGTACACATTCTCTCAGTTTGTGGTCTGTCTTAGCACTCTGATGGCAAGAAGTTTAAGCTTTTTAATGTAATCACATTTGTCAGTATTTTTATATGGTTTATAATTTTTAAATTGTTAAAGACATATATGTATTCCGTATATTTCCTTCTAAATATTTTAAAGTGATTTTCTAAATTTAAGTCTTTGGCTTATCCTGAAATGATTGTTATGAACGGTGTGAGGGAGTGCTATGGGTTGAAGTATGACTCCCCTAAACTCACATGCTTAAATTCTAACCCTTAGTTGGTCATAATGTATCTTTATTTGGAAATAAGCTCTTTACAGAAGTATTCATGTTAAAATAAATATATTATAAAATAAATAGATTAGGACCCCAATCCTATATGATTTATGTCCTTATAAAAATAAAAATTTGAAGACAGATGCAGCATACAGGGAGAATGTCATGTGATGATGAAAGCAGAGATCAGGGTGATGCCCCTACAAGACCTGGAATGCGAAAAATTGCAGGGAAAGCAGCAAAAGCTAGGAGGCAACGAAGAGATTCTCATACACACAGAAAGAACCAACCCGGAGGGCACCTTAATGTTGTACTTCTAACCTCCAAAAGTGTGAGACAACGCATTTCTTGTTGTTTAAGCCACTCAGTTTTTAACCCTTTGTTACAGCAGTACTGCAGACTAGAATGAGAATAATTTATTTACTTTTCAGTATCGTTAATCAACTGCCCCCATTATCACAGTACTAGACCATTTTCATGCTGCTTATAAAGACATACCCAAGACTGGCCAATTTACAAAAGAATGAGGTTTATTGAACTTTCATTTCCACATGGCTGGGGAGGATGCACAGTCATGGCGGAAGGCAAAGAGAAGCAAGTCACATCTTTGCGGGTGGCGGCAGGCAAAGAGAGAGCTTGTGCAGAAAAATTCCCATTTTTAAAACCATCAGATCTCATGGCACCTGTTCACTATCACAAAACCGCATGGAAAAGACCTGCCCCCATGATTTAATCATCGCCCACCAGGCCTCTCCCACAACAGGTGGGAATTGTGGGAGCTACAAAATGAGATTTGGGTGGGGAAGCAGAGCCAAGCCATATCAATCATGTCTTAAATACTTCATCTTTTTGACACGTAATGGAACTGTCTTAATTCTGTGAAATAACAAGTCTCTGCATATGTGTATCTGTCGGACCTCTATACTTCGGAAACATATCTATTTATTTTTGCACTAAAGTGAAATGTCTTATTTACCATAGTTGAATTACTGTTGCTTTGTACATCTGATATAGTGAGATCCCTCTCTATCCATTCTACTTCAGGGGCATTCCAGCTGTATTTTTTCCTTATTGTTTATCCATATACTTTGTAATGAAGATGTTAATTGAACAAAACATAAAATAAAATTTTAAAGAGAGCATTTGATTGACATTACAAATCCCATATGAAATTTCGATTTAAGGATAATTAAAAACTTTATAATATTCAGTTTTTCTGTTCGTGATGTCATGTGTCTCTCAGCTTACTTTGGTATTTTTAATATTTTAAATAACGTTTTCTAATTTTCTCCATGAAAGTCTAGGATGTATTTTGGTTGATTTTTTCCTAGGAGTGTTCCTTATTAAAATTTTTGTTGCAACTGTTAATATGTATTTAAAAATACATATTAAAATAACAAACTATACATATAAATAAATATAAAAATAACATATACATAAACATATACATATACATAACAAAATACATATAAAAATAAAATATTAAAATGTTGTTAACAACTGTTAACATGTATTTAAAAATACATATTCTCACTGGTAGAGGGCTACAATTGTTTTTTATACATCAAAATTGAGGAGTAAAATGTTGCTATCGAATTGTTAAGTCCAGTAGTTTGTTTCTAAATTTTCTTGGTTTCATAGGAAGACAATCTAATAATTGGTAAATAATATCATACACACTTAGGTTAATTTTTTTTCTGATTACACTTACTAAGGTCTCTAGTAAAATACTGGATAATATCAATTTTTGTCTTGTTTCCAATTTAAATGAGAATGTGTCTGTGATTTCTCTGTAAGTATCATATGTGCTAGAGTTTTGGTTTTTTTTAGATATTCTTTAATCAAGGCAATGATGTATTCTTAAGAAAATGTGTCTTCACATTGGGAATCTTAGGAAATATTCAAAGGTAGTATACGAAATATACATTTGAACTTCAATTTATATTTTTATCCAAAATATTTAAAACCTGTATTTATTGACAGAAGTACATTCACATTATTTTTGAAAAGACACATTTTATGTTGGATGTTCACACATATATATATATATATATATATATATATATATAATTTTTTTTTACTGTTGTATCCACAATCAGATACATTTGGAGACCCATTGTCTTACACTAATATTTCTCAAATTCCTGTCCAAAGACCACTTCATCACCTAAATATCACCAAAGAGTCTTTTTTAAAAATGTTGATTATCAAACAATAAACTAAGAACTCTGGAGACATGAACTGTAAATATGTATTTTTATTAAATCTCTGAGTCATTATTACAAAGATTAAGGTTTCAGAATCATTGTCTCAAATAATAAAGATCAAGAAGATTCTAAATATTCCTCTTTTTATTTTTAGGTTTAAAACACTCAAAAAAGAACAGGGTTCGTTTGCCTGGCAACAAAAGACTCTCCACAAGAATGCAATTTTTGATCAATAGGAGTTTTATTACTTGTTACAAGTAAGGAGAGCCCTGGGACTATTCTCCAAAGCAGTGCTCTCAAAGGGAAAGCAAAAGGAGGGTTTTATTGGGCAATGAAAAGGGAGCAGGTGCATCATTGCATGGGGCGGGGGGGGGGCTCCTAAGGTGCAGACACAGGGTCATCATGCCAGCCCATAGGTTGAGTGCTATTATAAAGAAGCTACAGCTCCTCCCAGGGTGGATACTTTTGCATGTAATGAAGAAAGTTCACTGGTGTACATGTGTAAATTGCCAGGGTCTGTCAGGGGGTGGTTTCAGCCAAGTAGATATCCATATACCATGCAGGGCTTGAAAAAAAAAAAACTGTAAGATAGAAAGCTGTAAAACAGGCAGATTGTTCAATCTGGTTGAGTACCTAAAATCCCTGAAGACCCTACCTATCTGCTTACAAAACTTTCCTGAAAGTTTCCCCTCTTCTCATAGGATATTTCAACATGTGACTTGCTAAGTATGGATGAGCTACCTAATTAAAAAGAAATAAACAAAATAAGAAAATGTAAACATAAAAATCTCACTCACATAAACTTTAAAGAATTAATTAATCTTTTAAGTATTATTACTTTTCAATATAATCAGTTTGTGTGTTCTTTCGTGGAAAATATGGAAATGATCATGATCTCTAAGCACTGAAGCATGCTGGTTTTGATTTTAGATATCATTTACTTTATGCTTTTGTTCAGGGTTTGTGGTTCAATTCTTAAATGCCCTCATACATGTTAAGTCTAGTCTGATAATATTCTTTCCAACTGAAAATTTTTGTAAAGTAGAAGCACTCTACATTTCAACCACTTAGATCAAAGCGACAATATGTTGGTCTTCAGTTCTCATTGATTATTTTTCTATAATTTTTACCAAACCACATTTCTCCCAAGAGATCCCTAAGGAGTTCGGCAAGTAAAATTTTCATGTTTCACTACCTGCTCAAATGTACCAGTTTTCTCCTCTAGTTCTTCTGGAAAGGAAAAACAGAAGTCCATCCTCCAGTTTCCCTCCTTCAAGGCCTCCTATTGATTTCCCTCTTAGGCTTGCCTCTCTTCCATTGTTTTTCAAGGTCTCTACTGAAATAAACTATGTAGGAGAAAGAAGTTATTATCTTTTCCCCATGTGTGTGAGGATGATCACTCAATTAAAGATGAGGAAGCTGGAAAATCATTACACTGCATTAGATAAGTAGTTTCTTTATTGCATTATCAGGTTTGCTTCAGATAAAATTATACCTCTCCAGTACTTGCTACCTACATGGCAAATGTTTCCAGCCAATATGTAATAGTAAAATATGATCCAAATATATTGTTTAAATTAATGTTAATATTAATTTATTCTACATGTTAACTCTTTGTCAAACGAAGGTTTGGAGAAATTATTCATCTGCTGGAGGTTCTCAGCTGGACTTCAACTATTTATTTTCTATTCATTTTTAAAAGGATTTATTCAGAAAGGGTTCTTTCTTGTTTAAAAAACTTTCATTCAGAAGAATATTGAATGAGGCAAGAAATACAGTATAAGAAATTTTGAACAGTGTTTGTAATTTTTACCAAATTATAAATATTATTATTTTAAAATACAATGAAAAGTTAAAGCTCTTGGTTTCTAACTATTGTGCACAGCAATCTACTGAGTTAATACAAATTCAATTTGTAATAATTACTTCTGTAATACATAAATTATATGGTACAGTATAATAAGCAATAATAGTACATATTACAAAATGGTCTGACATCTTAACAAAAAACATCCTAACACATGGCTGTTATACTGGAGGAAAATAATATTGTGAAGTAGCTACACTTGCAGTTCACATAGAAAATGAATCATAATGCATTCATGCCTTTGAATAATATGCAAGTAAATGAACCAAAAACTACATGGCACAACATAGGTACTTATGTTATTTGAGGGTGGTAGGGGAAAGGTAAGGGAGAGAAAAATTAGAATAAAGTCTTGTGTTAATAAGTGCTTACATGTGTGCTAAGCCATCTTATAATGTTTAACCAGTAGATGTCTGAAAAGCAATTACTTTCTATTTATTATTTTGCTGATTTGTTTGCTAATAAAATGTTATTGCCCAATGACAATGTTGAATTAACTGCAGAATGATGCTCTTGAAGATTAGCTAGATTAAATCATCGAATCTAATAACTGAAGAATTACTTCAGAGATCATCTAGTCACTCTCAAGTCTCCCAGTAGCAAAATCCCTTTAAATCACTACATAAAGATGATGATCTTGTGGCATTCTGTCTATGCCAAAACTTCTGTCCAGTATCTGGATCCCTTCTTTCTCACTGAGAAAATCTGAACTTATCAAGGTTGCAGAGATGCCTAATTAAATCTTCACCACCAACCTTGTAGTTTAGATTGACCATATTATACAGGTCTAGTTAAAAATAAATAAATAAATAAGCAATGGTCTCCTAGAGGCTTCTGGGAAACCATGTTCTTTCCTAACCAAAAAAAAGGATAGGTCCCTTATCTCTGTCTCAAATACTGATGTAAAGGAGGAAGCTACTACAATAACCATCTTGATGGCTTGAAAGAACGGTCAAAGGAATTGCAGAGACTTTGACCCTGACATGCTTGGGCCCTTAAACAGCATTTAGCTACTCCCAAGTAGTTTGTCATGTGAAAACGCAATAAAAATAATCCATTTTTCTTCCTGCCATCTAACACAGTCTCAGCTTATAAACTATCTTTAAAGTGTTCTACAGGTGGTATATCCACAAACTGATATCAAAATTATTACTAAAGTTCTTCCAGCTGGATTTCCATAGGTACTTTCTTTTTTTTTTTTTTTTTTTTTTTTGAGACGGAGTTTTGCTCTTGTTACCCAGCCTGCAGTGCAATGGCGCGATCTCGGCTCACCGCAACCTCCGCCTTCTGGGTTCAGGCAATTCTCCTGCCTCAGCTTCCTGAGTAGCTGGGATTACAGGCACGCGCCACGGTGCCCAGCTGATTTTTTTTGTATTTTTAGTAGAGACGGGGTTTCACCATGTTGACCAGGATGGTCTCGATCTGTTGACCTCGTGATCCACCCGCCTCGGCCTCCCAAAGTGCTGGGATTACAGGCTTGAGCCACTGCGCCCGGCCTCCATAGGTACTTTCACCTTCATGTATCACAAACTGAGATAATCACAGTCATCTTGAAACCCTGTTTTTTTTTTTAATTTTATATTTCCTGCTTTGCTGAAAGGAACTGCCTTCCACGGCATCACTGAAGTCAGAAACTGAGAGTCATAACTTTAGTCTTGTTCCTCATAGGCTCAGTGCCTTTTCTACATTAGCTCATTTAATTCTCTTATAAACTTGGCAAGTCAGGTATTAATATTATTCAATGTAAGACCAAAACATGGAAGTGCTAAATATTTCTCCAAGTTTAGACAGCCATTAAGTAACAGAGCTGACATTGGAACAGAGACAATTTGATAACAGAATTCACTTTTGATACATCCTTGCTTCTCTCTTATTCACTCGCCCTGTTCAATAGTTACCAAATCTTGATTATGTCACCACAATACCTGTCAAGTCTGTCTGCTTTGCTCCTTTCTTGTTAGTACTGATGTGTCCTCTATTCAAACAAAGACTACATTACAGCAATAATTATCCAATCAAGAGGAAATGGGATATTTAGGTAGAAGGACAAGTGGGAAAGGAAACTAACACTTACTGAGTCTTTATAACATAAAGGCCTCTGTTCATTTACTTTTCATAATGTCTCTATGAAGTAGTTATTGTAGTGCCTATTTGATATATGAGAAACTAAGTTACACAGGTGGTCAGCAGCAGACCAACTGGGTTGAAGGGTAGTAATCAGATGCAAATGATGAAAGTGTCAATGATGTTGTTATTGATTGGCTTTAAAGGGCATCAATTGTCCACATAGCGATAGTAGTTTAAGATTTTTGGAAGTGAAGTTACATAATTTTGTGGTCGCTGATTCTAAGTCTCAGTGGAGTCAAATGAGTAAATATATAAGACTAATCACAAAAGTTTAATTATCTGAGCAATTTACCACAACATGTTTCAAATATGTCATAGTAGCAGCTTCAAAATATTCTCTAGAAGCCAAGCTTAAATTGATCCATGTGGGTTCGACTCCAGTCACAATATTTCAGAGAGAAAGCAAAATCCTAGGCTGCTTGATTTTTAGAATTTAGAAAACATATTGCATTATAGAACTGCTTTTGAAATCTTAGTAAGAAAAATATTCATTGAGAACCAAATCAGATAAGTGGTCTGGTTTTATGCTCAATTGAATGATACCAGTTGTTTCACCAGTTTGCTAAATTCTAATATATTTACTAACTTTAGTCCACATATTTTTTCTTTTTCCACTTCTCTTCCCTTCTGCTACTTTGTCCTCTACTCTTTTGTGTCTGATTATAATAGAATAAAGATACCACAGAGTTTTGCTATTCCTCAAAAATGTAAATGCAGAAAATAAAATGGTTGTTGAATGTTAGACTCAGGCTGCTTTCTGCCATTTACAAAATACTAGGCTCATTTTCATATGAAGCCCTGGAAATAGAGGGAGTTAGACCGCAAAATGAAATGTCCTCGGAGGCTATTCCTGCATGGAGGACTACTGACAAATTTTATGGCCTTGGATCCAGAAATAAACGCCATTCGGTGACTGTTTGTACAGTCAGGCCATTAAGTGCAATGATTTGTATGTCCTCAAGAGATCCCTTAAACTACAGTGCCTTGTGTTTGCAGCAGCTTGGCAGGAGTTGTATTTTTTTTAATCCTGCAGCTCACTGGCCAATAAAGTGTGTGCAAGGCGCAGTATCTCTCCAGTAAGTACGGAGTCTCTTAGCGATGTCATGTATGAAAAGAGCATTGAAGGCGCATCTATTTTGTTTTGTTTAAACAACTTTCTTCATGAATGAAGATGCTTACCCTGTGCTGAACATCCTGTAATCTGGACTATGGCCAAAATAGTCTAATAGTTATCTCCAGTACTTCTTAAGAGGGTTTTTAAAAGTAGACCCTTGCAAAGATAAAAATGTTCTGATAATAATGACTCAATCAACATTCTAAAATAAAGATTACCAGTATTCACAAAGGAGTTTTCTTAAGCAAGCAAAGGTATTTATAAAAAATTATATTCACTGGGGTGACCTCTTCTTAAAAATTGGTGAGCCCCTTCTCCAGTTAAATAGTGGGCATCATTTTCTTGTCTAATCTGTGTTCATCCTATTTTGGGTTCCCTGTGCTATTTATATAGTTTCTTAGTTTGTGGATGTCTGCTTGCAGGTGTGGGTTTTAATGTATTTGCTCATATGATTGCTCAAAATCCATGTTAAATTTTTCTCAGTAAATCTATATAGATATTTACCTTCCAGTTCTCTCTAGAAAATCCTGGATGACTGATTTGCATATTACCTAAGGAATAGTTTTTATTGATTGATTGATTGTAATTCTTAGTCTTGCAACCTCTTTGCTTTATGATTACTTTATATACTGATTTCTGAATGTCTTCAGCATCATCTAACAAACTATGTGGGAGTCAGGAAAATTGAAAATACTTTTGAATAGAAAGAATTTTAATTGGGGCTGAGCTGAAAATGGGTTTTCCATATTGGACAGAAATATATGCCATCAAATACCATTCCCTCTCTTTCTCCCTTCTGAGCTCAGGAGAATATTTCTAACTTAAAGTGTGTCATGTACCTGGAACCCAAGTTCACAGATTGCAACACCTTACGTGCAGTTGGAATTGAATTAAAGTGCTGAAATTTAAATGTGAAAATATTTACAATGCCACAATTTCGCAATGTATTCAGTGTTTTCTTTGAGTAGCTATTACATACCAGGCTCTGTGCTAGGCTTTAGGAATGAAAAGATAAGGTCCATGACTCAAAAAATTCACTGTATAGTGAAAAGAAAGATAGATAAATAGTCAATTGCCAAAATACAAAAATATAAATTAAATGACTTTATAACTTTTAAATCTAATCTTTTATTGGGTACACAAAAGAATGTAATTCACAGAGCAGAATGAACCTGTTTATAAAAAGGGCTACGCTATTAAGAAACAAGGTAAAGTAAGACACTGTATATGGGTGTTGG